ATACCGGTCTTTGAAGGCCTAGCGGCAGCATTCATGGTGGTATTCGGAATCAGCATCGTCGACTACCTATAGTCCAGTCGGTTTCGTTGAAAAAGCGATTTATCAGTTGGGGATCATTCCTCGTCAGGATGATTCCAACATAATAACATTTTCATCATTTATGTCGCCTCCTTCAACGCCACTAACAATTCAATAACTAACATTACTTCACATTCTCTAGAATATTATGAAATAATCAACAATTCACTACTGCTGAATAGCGAACATATGTGCTAAACATATGTAAATGAAAAAAATAAGGCAAGTATTGATATTATGGTTCACATAACTATATCTAAACTGCCTGTGAATTCCTTGTTGAAATATTCAGTTTTCCATCTTTACTTGCTTGAAACGAAAAGACTACGTGTATGAAAAAGGTAAGCAGCAAGAAAATAAAATTTAGTTTTACACATCAGTTCTTGATCGGTTTATCGGTTATGACCGATTTCGGTTAACCGTAACCAGTGCATGTCTAGAGTATCCGTTGGAATTTCAGTGAGATTTTCATTTCTTATACCACAGAAGAAATGTATTTCTAATTCGAAGTGATTCAAATAATACGAGAGACTTACTCTTAATACAATACTATGCAAGGTCGATCATTTTGAAAACTGAATTATTCATGTAATATCCATGTAAATCTGGTATAACTGTGTTGATAACATAACGTCTTGTCTCGGATTATTAAAGTGCTCATTTTGTTCATATTGTTTTTGTAATTGTTTAATGTACCGTTGTCTTTCGTTGGCATCTAAAATACGTGCCGAATAAATCGACGCCATGAAGTGCACTTGAAGACCTTGCCTCGTAGAGTCAGTTGGGGGAAATCGGATCAATTTTGAAAATTCCGTATTGTTTTGGTACTAACTCGGCCATTTTTTATCCTAGAAAAAAAAAATTTTTCACAGCTAGTTGACTAACCACACACAAACACTCACTGCACTCCTTGCCAACATAAGAATAATTATCCGTTTATTTGAACTTCTTGCTTTTCGTTTCATAAGCCGACAACAGTATAAGAACGTAAAAGAATGTTATATAAATGCTCAGATTAGAAAAAATTTAGTCTAAATGTTACTACTTCACATTCTGTTTTTCACTGAAAAATTTGATAATATTGCCCGTTTTTGGCATCTGTAGCGTAGAGCCATCACTACCATCAGGTTTGATGATTTTTCTGGCCTGAGGTCTACCATCACATATCATTCGCATCCATGCCAGGCCTAGATCTTTGCTACATCTTTGTTTTTTTCCAATCGAAGAAACTAAAAGAGACCAAGAACAACTAACACTTTCTTTACCTTTTACGCTCAGCACAATAAAGAGTTTATCCATATATTCCGAGATTCTAAGTGAAGCAAGTTTCCGCTAAAATTTGAACGAAAACAACGATATGGTAGCAGCACATTATAACAGCAGAGCCCCATACAATAAACCAACAGTTCATAGTTACAAATCACAAGACATTACGCTGTACGTGACATGTTGGTCCGCCCGCCCGTAAGGGAAGGGAGGTGACAGAAAGTGCAAAAACAGCCGTTTTGCCCTCCAAACCTCTTTGAACTTAAAACGTTATTCCTTCTGACGAAGGATAGCCCTGAAAATTTTCACAAAAATCGTTGCAAATTTCCCCACCATGTCAGGGTTTTGCGTAATATTTTTCGTAAACAGAGTTTCTTGCCGGTTCCTAGAAAGTCTCGCGCCAATCTTTCATTATAAAAGTGTAGGGAGTTAACTCGCTCCTTGATTTTTGTAGAATATATCTAGTTACGTCCCCGCACGACGAAAAGTTCATAGAGGAAACTATGGGGAATCTTTTTGTAGGAAAATGCGTTTAAAATCTTTTTTCCTCTGTAAGGGTTAAAAGGATCTTATATATATCTGTATATATATATTTGAATCGATATATTTTGATTCGATTTTACACTACGAGTTATTCATCTTTGTATGAAAATAATCCTAAGCCAATGATATATGATGAGCACCGGCGACTGTCATTTTCTAGAGGATGCTTCTGCCTGACTATGAGAACCGGCATATTATAAAAAATGAACTTTAGAAAACCGATCGAATTTTACACAGATCTTTTCAATCTTATCTTGGAAAGAGATTTTTAAACTTATTTTGTTTACAAAAAGACGTCTGTCAATTTCCTCTATCGACCGACATTAACTACTAGTCTCTACTTTATTTCTATCAGAAGTTACTCAAAACGTGACGAATTTCTCCGCTTTTTGAAATGAATTGACTGAAATAATGAGAATATCAATCGACAGTGCATTGATACTTTGTATTTACTATTCTTTCATACATAATATTTAGCGTTCCATATAAGCTGTAAAAATTTGATCTAAATTCCTTTGGTAAAATATCTAGCCATGTACAAAAACTCTTTTCTCATTTTATTTATGAATTGTCGTATACTGGTTGGTTTTTCCTGTTCTTGTAGGGAATATTCATAAGCAGGTAAACATTGTTGAACGACACGTTTCAAATGAATAATAATCACTTCTAACGGTTGCTGATCATAAAAGTATTCAGGAATTTGTGGTATTAATCGTGTATTATTATTGTTATTATTATTCAGACTCTTCAATAATCTATGAACCACTTTCGGATAAAAACTATTTTGTTTAATCACATGTCGACCACAATGAACTAAACTTTGTCGAAACTCTAAAATATTGAACGCTGTATGCTTGTCGTAAACGTCATGTATTAGTGCACGACGACGATGTAACACTTTTGTTGCGATAAAAAATATGGCAACTAATAGAAATATACATAAAGTAACATAGCATAGGAGAACAAGATGTGACCGATGACGATTAGACAACTGATCAATATCCATGATACTGATAAAAAGTAAAAAAATCTATCGATCTTCTGCGAAATTAACAATAATTTTGAATAAAATGAAATTGGCGCTTTCGTTTTCCGAATAACCATTTTTTAGCTGCTTTGGTTCTAATATAAAGGCTGGTTTTTGTTGAAAAACATGTTTTCGATAGTTTGCTCTCGTTATATCAATATATTACACACGTGCACCCGAAATTATCCGTACAGCATGTAGTTTATGAGTAAACGAATCATAACCTTTTAAGTAATATTTTAGCATGGGCTTTTTACCAAACTCCGTGCCCGCATATCTGGTATGTTCGAAAAAGTTGGGCTGTTTTAGTGATTCAAAATTATTCATATACCAGAGAATATTTGCTTTCTCTCGCTTAATAAAAATCTTGAAGGAATCTGAGTAATAGCTTTCGATAGCTGGCTTCTTTAGCTACGTTCTAAGGTGCCGGAAATTCAAAAGATGAGCAAAAAATTTTTTCTGGTTCAATCATACATCATTAGAAAGAGTATATCGAGCTGAGTAAGAAAAGATTTGCTTTTAGCTTTCCAAAACATTGTTTTCGTGTCGAAAAACCCTTAAAACTTGAAAGGTCCATTTTTTTTTCTAGAAACCAAAATTTGTTCAAGCATGTAGTCCCGGCCACAAAACGTCGACTCTAACCGCCGAGCATCTAGTTTTTCAAAAATGAAAATACCTTGGGCATGGGACGCTCTAAGAATTTTTTCAACATACCATTGGAAAGAGCGAAAAACCCTGAGTAGAATACACACACTTTAGAAATAAAATGGCTACTTTTTGCATTCTTTCAGAATGTTCTTTGAATAAGTATATACGCAAGATTTTATTAATTTGGCTTAGCCTCTCATCCCAAAGTTCTTTTTCTTGCGCAAGATTGTAGAAGACAGTCAGCTCTTCGAAATGAGACCTTCTCTGTTGTTTGATCACATTTCCTTCAAATGATACAAACAATTCATTCAGGAAGGCTCACGGAAGGATGGAACGCCATTAGTGTTGATATAACCGAAACAGTCGTAGATTCGGTTCAAAATCGACTGGAACAATGCCAGAAACAAAAAGGCTATCCAATACGATATCAAGTATATTCTGAAAATTCGAGTCGAAAAAAAAGAGAAAAGGTGTTTTTTTCAAAAGTGTCAAAACAGTTTATCGTGCCATCGAATTTTTTGAGTACATCTCTCAATGAATTGCATATTTTAAAGGAAGTGTGATCTAGAGCTGTGGAGCGCCTCACTTTGTAAAGCCGACTCTCTTCTATATTTATTAAAATAGAAAGAAAATCACGATACATGAGTTGCAGAAAATATGGAAGCGATAATTAAATCAGACAAGAGAGTTTTTCTTCTCGCGTCATTTAGCAACAAAAGAGGAACTTTAGTTGTCAGTACAAAGGGGGACAACATATATTCTTTTCGTCCATTATCATCGAGAAACGAACAAAATTAGAATTCTAGTTCTGATTCGAGTTTTGTCGGACATTAGAATCTGGTCTCCTCATGTTTTTTTGAATGAAGAAGGCAATCTTTCTCCATAAGAAGTCTTCATGTTTTCTCCAGAAGAAATCCATGTTTCTCCGCAAGAACTTCATGTATTGCTTGATGAAGAAATCGATCTTTCTCCACAAGAACTTTATCTTTTTTTATGCAGAGACCCGTGTTTCTCCGCAAGAACAAGTCCATGTTTCTCCACTAGAACTTCAGGTGCTTTTGGATGAAAAAGTCCACGTGCCTCCACAAGAACTTCATGTTCTTCTGGATGAAGAACTGCATGCTTCTCCAGCAGAACTTCATGTTTTTTTGGACGAAGAAGTCCATGTGTGTTCACAAGACCTACATGTTTTTTCCTGAAGAAATCCATGTTTCTCCACAACGAATTGATGTCCATGTTTTTCCACAAGAACTTCATGCTCCTTCCAGAAGAAGTCCATGTTTCCCCACAAGAAGTTCATGTTTTTTTGGATGAAGAAGTCCGTGTGTCTTCATGTTTCCAAGTATAAATAAAAACAAACAGAAATATGTAGAAAAAAAAAACGAAAAAAAAAGAATAGCATAAAAGATATTTGAGGAAAATTTTTTGGAGCAGATAAACCAATCACTGATGCATCCGTAAAACATATCCAATAGATAAATTACGATAAAATTTCCACTTCTGGATTTCTTTTTCTTGTTTATCTTTCAAAACTATAAATGCTCGATGTATTTGTCTACTCCACTTCATTTAAATTTTTTTCCCGACGAGTACTAGCAACGAAACAAGAAAAGTAAGTGTCATTATTGTTTTTTCGAATATTGTCTATTCGCCGGTATTAGTGCCTCTGGATCTTGGATTCCTCCTCAGTCTCCTTTCCACATCTTCAACAATGTGTGTTTCAATCAAACTATCTCTTTTGTTCGACGAGCCGAGTGATAATGACTCACGTGCTCTCTTTAAATTTTATTTCAGCAACCGACTTGGTTCGACCTTAGCACACTGCTACGGAGGTAGACCTCTCTAAGCAGAGTAGGCCAACCCGCCCGATCAGTTGTCGCTCAAATGCACCGAATGTAGAATAATGCTATGTCATATATAACATTCAACATGAGCAGCCAAGTTGGTTTTTCGATAGGTTAAGCTTCTTCTACTGACATCCATCCCTTTAGCTTCTTTGGTTAGGTATTTTGGTTTATGTTTAAGGCGTCTATTTTTGCATCATTCAAAACGAAAATTTCAATTAGAAGGAGAAAGAACGAGTGTTTAGAGAACTTAAGCAAAGGATTTATCCATCTCGTATTGGATATAGTACCGCTATTGGAAATGTGTCGCTCCTTTGAAAAAGTTTTTATTTGTCTTTATGATAGGTAGTTTCGACAGTAATTATATTTGATAAGGCGGATAAGCGAGAAAGAAGTTTAGACAGCCGTAGCCTGCAATTCCGTGAGGCAGGTCAAAGTGCGAGAAATCAGTCAAAACTTGACGGAATTCTTTTATAAATACATTTTAATATCGTCTATCGTCTGATGTCAAAATCGAGGTTATAACTAGAAATTTTAAAAGCAGACCAAAAAAGAAAAGTCGAGCAAAAATTAAAGAAACATATATTCTCAAAAACTACAAGTCCAGTGATCGAAAACATTTTACCATATGTATTTCAAACTGTCCTTTACAAAACGGTAAAAAACTCGAGTTACAGGATCCCCTTAGGATAAAGAATTCAAAGTAAAATCGGTATGGATAAAAAACGAATTGCTTTCTTCTGTGCTTTTGACTACATTGTAAATCTATATCTTAAATGTTTGATGGATAGTATAAACTTAGGCTAGCCAACGGAAAGGATATGCTATGAGTTATTGATTTTACTCTGACTTTTTAATTAGAAAGAAAACATTTGACCACAACAACGAAAATGATCACATGTTTTAATATCAAAAACAAAAAAACGTTTACACAAAGTTGACAAAGCAAACCTAAACACTGACAGAAGTACACGCAAGCATCTCAGAAATATACTGACATTCGACAAAAGTAAAGAGAAATAAAAATTTTCTTTGTTACTATAATATTTTGATTGATCATTACGAAAACAGCTAAACTTCTGATTAATTCTACATTTGTTAGTCAAATGAAAAGAATTTTTTCATAGAAAAAAAGTATTGTCAACAATAAAAATTAAACATTCGTTATAAGGATGACGAAGAAGCAGAACACCAGCATCTGAAGGTCATAGATGTTCTATCATGCTTGAAAGAAAAAAAGCTTTAACTCATTTGTTCATTATTCTCAATAAAGATTAGGTGAAACATGCAAATAAAATTAAATATCAAACACACTATTCAGAGAACAAATCGTCAGCACTTGGTAATGGTGTTAGATCTTCTTGTATTCGCTCACAATCGGGCATATTTTTACGATGTTTTTCAAGTTCTTCTTGAATCAAGTCTAATTTTGGTAATTTCACTTTATATTTACCATATAATTTTTCTTCATACATAATTTGTTTTTCTTGTGCTTGACTAAAAGCTTGTAACATTTTTGCTGTATATTTTCTTGAATATAATTCACTTTCTAAACGTAAATTATATTCATCTAATAATCGATGTGCTTTAGTAACAATCTGATAAAGTTCCACTGCCTCTGTTTTATCACAAAGAGTCTTTAACAAATTAATGTCGCTGACTTCTGGAGGCAAAGCAGCTATTTTTTCACGTACAACAGCATCAGACGATGGTGAATTTTCTAATTCTTGAAGAATTTTAACGAATTCATCAACAATTGGAATTACTGTTGGATTCATCGCTAAATCACGTCTTGTTTCTTCTTTTAGCGATAGTTTGCGTTTGAGTTTTCGACGTCGCTTTATTGACATATTATTGAATTTGCTATTAGCTGAACGTTTTAAAGTTTTGCTCGTCGTAGAACTATTATCTACATTTAGTCTTTCATCGTTATCATTAACGTTATTGGATATTTTTAAATTACTCGTTTTGTTGTTGGTATTATCGTTTGAATGTGTCTAAAGTAGAAGTGAAGTACATAGTTTAGATAAAATTTCAACATTCAATGAAACTTGAAGATCATAAAATGTGCAAGTAGCGAGTAGGCGCAAAAAGTTTACATTTGCTTGTCGAGCAATCGTTAAACGAAAAAAGGTAATAGGTAACAAAAAGGTGGGATCGGTGAACTCATTACATTCATTAGAGATCGAACTAAACTTGAATATGGATTGGACACATCAGCATCAACATTTAATTCATCAGAAACGGAAGGATACAATCCATAAAAAACTAAACCACCAAAACATTCCTATCAAAATACAAATAATCTCTTTGTGATTGGTATAAAACAAATGAATGTCTTTTATTGTATCCATTGTTTGTATTTTTACAAACATAGATTTATGTTGTGTTTACATCATAATTAGATTATTGATCATCAAAAATAAATCTTTACTTCAGTATAAAAGGATGCCATCTGATGGAACGCAAATTACTGTGCATCTGTAATATTTTTTGCTTACCCCGTTCTCGTATGATAACTTTAATAACTTAATCGCGTCTAATTCATAAATTTGTCTTTCATGCCATATTTGAATAATACGTCTGACAGTTCTTCTCGTCGTATTATCTACACAACGTACAATATGTTCGACAGCTGAGGCTAATACTGGTAAAAAAGCGCGAACAAATTCTCCACCTTTTCGTTTATCATTTTGAATAACATCGTTCGCAACATACAAAAACGCTAAATATGAAAAAAGATAATATTATTCAAGACAAATAGTACAAAATAATGCTATACAGTGAATTACAATTAATATTTCTTTTTCTTGATAAACCCTAGTCGTTTGAAAACAAATTTACCTATTTTACGCTGTGCTGACGCTCGAATCAGTTCTTTTGCCCACACGTGAACGATTATTTGTGATTGACGCCGATGATGAAGAAGAAAAAGTGAGATTGTTTCTACACTTTGTTGAGATGTTGATAATTCAGTAAAATGTTTAATAAGAGCTGTTTCACTCATTCTTACTAATATTTCGTGTTATAGATTTCAAAAATAAAGAGTTGAAAGTCTAATAGGTTTGATATTTTGTGCTGCGTCAAGATAGTGAAATAGAATATTACATATCGATCATAACGTTATAATAGTAAACGATAACAAATAAAATCACGTTAATGTAGACAAAAGCATGAAGAAAATACAAAAAAGTAATGCAAAAGAGAATGAACATGGACAAGCGACACAAAATTTTTAGACTTTCGTCCAATTCCCATTCGGTTTGAGGGATGTAGTTTTCCCATTTCGACCGAGAGGCGGTTTTTTGACGAGAATAATCCAGGAGCCTATTTTTACCAGTCCAGACATTAGGCGTAGTACACCGCTTAGCGAGTATATTGTCGTGTATATAAATATGTATAGATATAATATACATACATACCCATGCATCCCACACATACAAGTATAGATGCGACATGATAGCAGAATTTCAGAACTGAAGGATTCGAGCATCATGTTCTCGAAGAGAAAGCCGAGTAAAACATGATAAAAGCACATTCCCACCCTTCTTAGAAAAGTCCTTTGGAGAGGTGCAGTGGACACTCAAGTAGACATTTAGTGGAAACTTGAAATTACCGTTTTTCAAGTTCTATTGCCGGATCATTAAGTTAGATGTCTTGGCTACCTTTATTTACTAGAATGAAACCTTTTTACCTGTGCTGGAGCAAAGGAAATCTCAAACTAGAAAATTTATTCAAAATTATCTGAGAAAAATGGATACGCCTTTTTAATTAAATATTTCTCCAAAACCGATAGCAGTAACGATTTGTAACTCTTTCGGCTATGTATTTAAAAAAGTGTCTAGATTGAGCTTAAACTCGAACAGACACCAATCACTTGTAACGCCAACAAAATTTCCACATTCGAATGTCAAACATTTAGGCTTTAGGCGATATATAAGACATATTCAAGATATCTAACGTATATCTGACGATATCCGCACGTTGAATGTTGTTTTGTTACGCACTCTCACTACTCACCTTCCTCGCCTTTGTATGAAGGAAGTGTTTGAACCAAAATGTTCACGATAAGCGAAGAAGCAGCGTTTTTTTCTCTATAGAATATCTCAAAGGCCATCAGATACCCTAAATTTTTCAGCAATTTTGTTTAACAATATCACAGAGGTGTTCGAAACAAGTCACATTATCAGACATGATATGGAATAAATCAACTCTCTTCATAATGAAATCTTATGTCTGAGAAAGCACGAGGCGTCACCATCACATCAGCTTTCGGAATCCTGACATCCTCGAATACTATAATATGGCATTGTAAAATTCTACTATCATGTCGCATCTATACTTGTATGTGTGGAACGCATGGGTATGTATTATATTATATCTATGCATATTTATTTATACGACAATCTACTCGCTAAGCGGTGTACCACGCCTAATGTCTGGACTGGTAAATATAGGTCCCTAAATTATTCTTGTCAAAAACTCGTACCACGGTCGGAATTGAAAAACTACATCTCTGTTCAATTTTGTGTCACGTTCTTTTCGGTGAATGTTGTATTTTTATGTTGTGCTATTTTTTTTCAGAAAAAAAAGTAGATGCTTTATTTATGATAAATTACACCCAATTTTATTTCAAAACATTCTACGAGCTTTTAAAGTCACTAATGAAATCGAATTTTGTTTATTAAACCGTTTAAAATACAAACTTACAGTAAAAATTTAGCGAGCTCAATATAAATTTTACTTTTTACTTTTAAACCTGCACATTTTACCTTATTTTACTGTATTTGTTTTAGAAATGAATGAACATTGTTATAGTTTATCCGAAGGTGACTTTATGCTTTTATTCGAACATTTGACTGTATTATTATTTTATGCTCTTTTACGGTAATTTTTTACTTTTTTCTTTATCTATAATCTCACTTGTTTTCACGTTCACACAATGAGAAATCGAATATCCCAAGTTACTTTCGAGTAATTTAGTCCAAAATAAAATGGATACTTTCAAAATTCGTGGTTTTAGTGTTCGATTCCAACAACTATGTAATGTTGTTTTGTGCTTTGCTTTCTTTCTGTTCTTTCTCGCTCTTCATAAACTGTACTTAAAGAAAAATTGTCTCATTTTTATTATATTAAAGTTTTTATCTATGCCCCCACAAAGCTTGTCTTACAGGTAAAGATAGTGACACACTATGCACAATAAAAGAGCGCCTTTTTATTGATTAGATGTATGGAATATAATGAATTACGAATATGACTTGTGTACAAACCTTTATGGTCTCTCTTAATAACAAAAAATATCGTTTCGTTTCGATTAGTGCTGACCAAGTTAAGTTAACATTAGTGAAACAGCAAGCAGACACCCATTCGAGAATTGAGAGAAAAGATATCAGACATACTTCTCACTTGTATTACTAGTAGTATATGGTTTATAGTCGGTTACAATAGTCGGATATTGTGTCGTCACTAACTATCACGTATCAGAATGCCTCCAAATGTAGTACAATGTTGGAATTGTCCTCTAGCATAGATGTTCTAAATGGAATTAATGCCAAGTTAACTTGATCAACACTATTCGAAACGACATGATATCTTTTTGTTCATTAGAGATCCCGTAAAGCTTGTGTATATATATACCTTTCTAAGGCATACGAAGAAACTAAAGTAAACATTAAAAAAATTGTGTAGAACAGTAAAAATCTGTCATATAACGGCTTTGCCATTTTTTGTGATTCAAATCATAACAATGTAACATGCTGGGTTATATGCTACTGGTAATGCACCAAAAAAACATTGTATGCATCGGGAAAGACACGATGTTACTTTCATCGTATTGGTCAATGGTAACTAATGAAAAGTGCTGTCAGAGTTGAAACGTTTGTAGATGTCATTAGAGTGAGTGACATTGCCACGAAGAAAATGTTAGCAGAATAATATATAGAAAGTCGCAGGAAAAACGTGACGGTGATATCGCGTTTTTTCTATGACTTTTTAACGTTTTTTCCGTTATTTTTTATAATGCAGCACACAAAAAGTTATAACGCTAATATAAGGGCGAATAAGAAGAGGAAAAAAATTGAAAATGACTAGGACGGACAGGTTTTTAAATCATTCGTGATTGTTGTACGCTTTCGACAGTGCACCCGAAAAAATGTAGTAAGCAGAGTAATGAAAGTAAAGTCAATTGGACCAATCATGTTAATTTTCGAACCTGATTGGTCTCATTGACCAATGAAACATTTTCTTTTCTTTCCTTACATTATCATTATTGTATTATTTTATGTTACTTTTCTTACTTCTTTTAGAGTGTATCGATTTCGATTAATCATCGAGTCTCTTCTGACTTTATTCTGACATTTAGCATCTTCACCTGCAAATCGCTAAGAACCAGTGGCGGATCTAGCACTACGACGGTCCAGCGACTCCTCGCAAATGGAATTCTAGTGCAAGTACACTATGCTACCAGACTTCCTTACAAAAAATATTTATACTACCTCGGACGACATCTTTTAGAAATCGCCACCCCGTTGGTAGAATCCTAGATCCACCACTGCTAAGAACATTAGATATTTCTTTCCGTTACTTTTGAGATTTTGGTTAAGTCATTGAGAAAAATGTCACGAAGTTAGTCGTACCTAACTGTCCAGTTAGATAACTAAGTATATTGGTGTGTTATTACTACTTGGTGTGTTAGTACTGTATTCTTTAAGTCAGTACTGCAAACATTAAACTAACTGAACATTTAACGTTCTCAATCAATAATAAATACATAAGTAAATATATTCCAATGCGTTAGACAAATGAAATAATATGAAAGCAAAACTATTTTTCTGCGTGTTTTTTTTTAAATGAGGATTTTCCCACGAATTTTATTCCAATTCCTCTAATTCTTGGTCATCACAATTACATTGATATCAGCAATACACATGAGGTCATCGTACGAGGCAAGATAAGACAGGTATTTTCTTTCAGTTACACACAGTTTATAAATATGAATTAACAAAAAGAAGTTGAAAGATCAGAAATTAAGTTTTTGCTCATATTAGTCGTAGATTTTAATTTGCTACTGGCTTTTATTCGAAACCAACTTTTTTATTCGAGATCATTTTTGCATGGCCATAAATGACAGCTGTTCTTTCATTGATTCATAAACACTTGAGATAACATTAGATATGCACACATCATTATCCTTCACTCTCAATTGAATTTTCCTTCAGCAATATATTTTTTTTCTTACCCAAAACAAAACTTAGTAGACACATTCGAAGAAAAGAAAATTTTTGGCCGTTGTTTGTTTAAGTTGAAGTGTGGGCAAGTATTATATCCTTTTTTATTACGTTTTCTTTACAGAATAAAAGAATTTGTGTTAAAAGGTGACGCATAACAGCAACATTTGACCCACTCGCTGTTTCGAATGTCGAAGTGTGGATATCGATAGAAATATTATTTAGACTGTTCTCCATATGATCAGAGATAAATATGTCTTCGTCAGAAATTTAAAACATACCCAACTTTACTGCTCGACGAAATTTCACTAACGACTGTCGTCGTACTGCATTGTGTAACGCTTCCAATGGATTGGGATGAATATATGGACGATCACCACCACAATATTAGAAAATTTAAAGTGATGTTTAAAAGTTTATGACCGTTTTGCCTTTGTTGGTACCTCTTCCATTGTATGAATATACAATGCTATTGAACGAGCTTTCGCGATATTATTGGACGCTGCAACCTCCTTAAACAAATGAATGATATTATTTAAAAGGTTACTATAAACGTTCTAAAGAGCAATAACACACAGAATAGGCTGAAACTACTATTGAAGAATATAAAACTTTTCTTCTATTAAATTATCTTTCTTACAAGTAACAAAAAAAATTTCTACGTGAAAATATTCCTACTTAAAATCTAATAATAATAGAAATAAATTCTAAACAAGTTTACCACAATCATATTATTCACAAGTAACAGCCTACAACTCATTGTCTGCTATCTCGCAGCTTG